GTTTGGCCTGTGTCTGCCCCTGGTTGAAGTGTATTGAGATTCTCAGATGTATTTTACTGAATACTGGAAATGTTTGCCAAAGGGCCCTTTCTTGCGGTCAATGGGACATGGTGGGCGTAAGAGGCGGTTCTATTTCCGTGATATTTTTTCGCCTGCTGTTGTTCTGCTTAAATTACTATTTTTTCATTATTTTTTGACAAGTCTTGTACCTCTGTCGGCCTGGCTGGAGGCCATGGCGCCGGAATCTGGTCACTGGCAACTCACTCCCAGGGTTAAGCAATTCTTCCTGGCCTCAGGCCTCCATAAGGGGCTGATTATTATTATTAGCACCTGGTCACCACCATGGTAATTTTCTTTTTTTTTTTTTTTTTGAGACGGAGTCTCACTCTTGTTGCCGGGCTGGGAGTGCAGTCGGTACAATCTCTGGCTCACGCAAACCTCTGCCCCTGGGTTTTCAAGCGCAATTCTCCTGCGCTACTCCCGCGTGCTGGATTAAGGCACACATCAGGCGGACACGCCGGTGGCTAATTTTTGTTATATTTTTAGTAGGACAGGGTTCCTGCCATGGTTCACCGGCTTGGTCTCGATACTCCTACTTTCAATGTTCACTAACTTTGGCCTTTCAAAGTGCTGAGATTACAGGTGTGAGCCACCGCACCCGGCCAACATTTTGTATTTTTGGTAGAGATAGGGTTTCACCCCATTGACCAGGCTGGTCTCGAACTCTTGACCTCGTGATTCACTCGCCTTGGACTCCCAAACTGCTGGGATGACAGGCATGAGCCACCACACCCAGCCTTATTATTTATGTCTCAAAAGGGATATTGCATCTTTTCTCTTTGAGAGCAAAGAAGTAATTCCTTTGGGTAATTTTAATTGGAGGGATTAGAAAGTGTGAGTGAAATTAGAATGGTCTGCAACACAAGCCGTAGGGCATTAAGGGAACGCTAGGGAAGAAGGCTACCCAGCCCTTGCTAAGCACTTGTCTTCCCAACCCCACTAGATGAGTTTTCTTCTTTTGGGAGTTTCCTGCTGATGCAAATAATAAATAATGCAGAAATTTCCACATCCTCATCTCCAGATTTACAAAAAGCCCGGGTGTTTTCATTTTACTAGAAGGTGTTTCCAAATTTTGAAATCTAAGTAATTTTAATTCACTATATTAAGAAAAGGATCCAAGTGTTTTTAAGCAATGAAGGTATTACAAAATCAAGGCAACATGTATCTCTGTGGAGCCGTGTTTGCAGGATGGTATGGAAGGGAAGCTGGCTGGTGTCAATCAAATGCTGCCTCCCCATGGGATTCATCTACTGGAGCGCCCACGCAGAACTTCAGCCCTGTGACTGAGGTTAAGGTGAAGAGCATGAGGCCATGGTTTCAGCGTCTCCTTGAGTGAAATGCTAAGGTCTTTGCAGGGGCTTATATTTCAAATTTGGACACCAAAAAATAAACATAAAAAAAGCATCCAATGACAAAAATGATTAAGTGACGTTAGAGATATTATCCAGGTGAAACAGGAAAGATTCTGATATCCTTATAGGGCTGCCAGATAAAATACAGGACATCCAGTTAAATTTAAATTCCAGAAGAAAGGAACACTTTTTTAGTATTTTGTAACTCACATATTGCATAGGACACATATTAAACCATTCATAATTTACCTGAATTTCAAATTTAAGTGGGCATTCTGTATCCTTATTTGCTAAACCTGGCAACCTTAAAAACTTAGCAATGGAAATTTAAAAAATTACCATGTGAGAAATTGTTTGGGATGGCGAATGGATTTTTGACTGCTGCTTCTTACATTTGGGGTGTGTGTGTGTGTGTGTGTGTGTGTGTGTGTGTGTGTGTGTGTGTGTGTCCTCTCGGGGCATTATGCTGTCTGCACTGAACTTGCACAGCAGCCTGACCTGTGTGTTCTGGACTTAAATACCCGACTCCACACAGATTCAGATGCCCAGGTGTGGGTGGACGTAGCACTCTGCATCGCTGCTGTCGTTGGTGTAGGAAAAGCCCTTCTAAGAACCCACATTCTAAAAGAAGTTCAAATGGGTCCAGAGACTTAGAGCATTTGGTGACTCAAAGTAAAAACATGATCTTAACCTGTTTTTATGAGTCAAGATGGAGTGAGTTACCTCTAGCAGGAGTAAAATATGTTTGGGCAGAGGCAGATATCAAGGAGATAATATATTTCAAGTAGGGGACAAAAAAGAAACCCAAGTACTAGAGGCTAAAATTTTAATTCCTCAGATGGAGTGCCCTGAACTCTGTGCTGGATTTCCTAATTCTTTTCTTGGTGTATATTCATAGACCTGGGGCCCCAAAGTCAGACAGCCTGGGTTCAAATCCTCGTGTCATCATTTATGAACTTTTCCCCCTTGGCTTCCTCATTTACAAACTAAGGATGATGATGGTCCCTGCATTTTAGGTTTGTTTTGAACATTAAATGAGATGATGCATCTAAAACACTAGAAGCAGTACATGGCAAGAAGTAAGTGTGTGACCGTTATCCGTTGTTATCATTGATGGTATCATCTTGCCTGTCGTGCAGGCCCTGTATTGGGTGAACTGAAGATTCCCCACAGGGAGGGGAAGGTGAGGCCCAAGATGGCCCTGAGCATAGTTCCTGCACCCGGAGCTGCAGACGGTGTGCATGGAGCCTCCTAGAAGTTCCAAAATGAACAGACACATCATTAGTAATTATTAAAGCCAGAGTGCTTCTGTCAGTGTGGTCCCTGAAGCTTGTAGAGCTTGGCCTGCACTCACTCTCAAGTGAGCTGAATGTATCTTTTGTTCACACTTTTTGAAAGCAAGCCCTTTAATTGTTGTTGCAAGGATACATTGTAAGTTTTACGATATGCCGAATTGTAGTGAATTTTGAAATTGTGATGTTCTCACGAATGAGGCGTATCCTAGAACTCAATCATTAAATATGTCTGTAATGTTGATATAAAAGGACTAGAAGACCTATTTGATTGTTGTATATTAACAGATAAGTTCTGTTGAGTATAAATTCTTCAGGTTTCTTCATTTCACTGCATTTTCTTTTTGCTTTTTTGTATTTTCCTCTTTGCTAAATTCCCTACCTTCCACAGGCCTTTAATTGCTGCTGTGGGGTTGGGATGAGAAGGGGGCACAGCTCTGCTTTTAGAAGGAACCTTGAAATGTCCTTACAATGACAGACGAGTGCCTGGGCAGAGAGATAATGGGGAACACCGCCTGCCCTTGCGGGGTGAAGGCTCACAGTGTCTGCATCCTCATGGGGCCTGCAGGAAATGTTCCCTGGCTGCGGCTCTCTGTTTCATTTTGGAACATGTTTTCCAGAGTCTCGCCAATCCCTCCAAAAAACAAACCAACCAACCAACCAACCAACCAACCCACCCTTTCACCTGAATGTTTAGCGAGGGGCTTCAAGGGCGTGGGCTGGAGAGCAAAGGGATGCGCCTTTGGAGCACTGACTGTCCTGGAGACCAGGCTTGCGAGAAAACGTAGCCAGTGAGAAAGAGAAGTTTAAAGATGAATTCTGTCATTTAAAAACATTCCTGCTTTTCGCAGTGATCACTGGAGCAGGCGATGGAATTGGGAAGGCGTACTCATTCGAGGTAAGCTGTCTTCCTGGGGACTTTCTCCTCCCTTGTGTCGAACACATCACAGTTCTGAGACATCTACCCCAACACTAGATTTTTGAATATAAAAGCAGTATGCATTCATTTAAAGGAGAAAAAATACTCTATAGAAAAGCAAACAAAAAAATAAGAATCTCACTCCCTGGGCCTCTTTTTTTAAGCGCAGTGATACTCAAAGGTGACAGTACTTCGCCTTGGGATTGTTTTGGGAATTTGTGGGGCATTGGGATTTTCTAGTGTAATTGTGCCATATGAGCTTATATTCTTAAATATAATTTTTTCAAAACATTATAAACTACTTTCCTTTTATTTATTATTTACATTAAGCTAGGGCATATATTGATTTTTTAAAAGTCACTTGTTTAGGCAAAACATCAGTGACTTTCATTTCAAGGAGATTAATGGCATTATAAAATATTCTGTAAAAAGAAGGTCTGATAGAACCGAGAGTCACTAGAATACAATTAGTATTTTTGGGCATTTCCTTCCAGGCTTATTTCTCTGTAGATAGATAGATTGATAATTATACTTTAAAAAATGCATTTATAACATATGTGGCTTTATGTGCTATTATTATTACAAATTTCACATTTTTATTAATGAAACACGATTTCCTGGAATTCCTACGTCTTTTATTTCTTCCTCATGCCTGTTAAACTGATGTCTAGAACCACATCAAATACAGTAGAAGAATAGAAAGAATTCTAGAAACTGTAAGAGGAAGGCTGTTTAAAAATCAGTAACACCAGCTGGGCATGGTGACTCACTCCTGTAATCCCAGCATTTTGGGAGGCCGAGGCAGGCGGATCACCTGAGGTCAGGAGTTCGAGACCAGCCTGCCCAACATGGTGAAACCCTGTCTCTACTAAAAATACAAAAATTAGCAGGACGTGTTGGCGGGTGCCTGTAATCCCGGCTACTTGGGAGGCAGGAGAATCTCTTGAACCTGGGAGGCAGAGGTTGCAGTGAGCCGAGATTGTGCCATTGCACTCCAACCTGGGCAACAGAGCGAGACTTCTTCTCCCCCCCCCGGCCACAAAAAAGTCAATAACATCTTAAAAATATAATGAAAAGCATTTCCATTTGCAATAAAAAAATAAGTAATCCTAGAAACACAGTTAATATAAAATTTTTAGGTCTTTTTCAAGAAAACTATAAAATTCCATTGAGAAATATAAGAGATATTCCAAATAAGAGAAAAAAGTACCACATTCTTGAAGAGAAAGATATTTGAAATCTAACAGTTTCTCCTAAATTTATCTCAAATCCCATATTATTCATACCATTATTTTTTAAATGTTACATTAGTTGTGAGCATTTTCTTATGTCAAAACTGTGGGGTTTTATTTTTTATTTTTTTTGAGACAGTGTCTTGCTCTGTTGCCCAGGCTGGAATGCAGTGGTACAAACACTGCTTACTGCAGCCTTGACCTCCTGGGCTCAAGCAATCCTTCCACCTCAGCCTCCCGAAGCAATGTGTCCTCCTGGAACTACAGGCTCATGTATTTTTTGTAGATAGGGTTTCACTATTACTCTATTGTACAGGCTGGTCTTGAACTCCTGAGCTCAAGCAGTCTGCCTGCTTTGGCCTCCCATAGTGCTGGGATTACAGGTATGAGCCCCCGCAGCCTGCCCAAAGCCATGATTTTTAAATGGCAACCTAATATTCCATCAAATGGATGGTCCATAATTTAACCATTTTCTTGGTAAAAATTTTAGTTTTTGCCGGGCGCGGTGGCTCAAGCCTGTAATCCCAGCACTTTGGGAAGCTGAGACGGGCGGATCACAAAGTCAGGAGATCAAGACCATCCTGGCTAACACAGTGAAACCCTGTCTCCACTAAAAAATACAAAAAACTAGCTGGGCAAGGTGGCGGCGCCTGTAGTCCCAGCTACTCGGGAGGCTGAGGCAGGAGAATGGCATATACCCGGGAGGCGGAGCTTGCAGTGAGCCGAGATCCGGCCACTGCACTCCAGCCTGGGTGACAGAGCAAGACTCCGTCTCAAAAAAATAAAATAAAATAAAATAAAATAAAAATTTAGTTTTTTTCCCCAATTTTTCTTCATTTTATATAAAATTGGGAATAAATACAGAAACTTTTCTGCTTCTCTCCAATTATTTTGGGAGCTATTTTCCTTGAGGTAGCCTGGCTGGGTCAGAGGTTGTGAATATACATAAGGTTCTCGTGCTTTCCATTTATGTGATAGTAATTTACACCCATTTCTGCGAGAGACGTTGTCTTCATCAGCTTGAGCTGCAGAATGAATTCCACAAGCTGAGTGGCCTAAGCAAGCATGTATTTCTTACAGTTCTGGAGGCTGGGAAGTCCAAGAACAAGGTGCCAGCAGATCCGTGTCTGGTGAGGGCTCTCTTCTTGGTTTGCAGACACCTGTCTTCTTGATGTAGCTTCACATGGCAGAAAGCAGAGAGAGGGGAAGCAAGCTCTCTGGTGTTTCTTCTCTTTTACTTTTTGGAGACAGGATCTTGCTCTGTTGCTCAGGCTGGAGTGCAGTGGTGCAAACACAGCTCACTGCAGCCTCAGCCTCCCAGCTCAAGTGATCCTCCCACTCAGTCTCCTGAGTATCAGGGACTATGGGTGTGTGCCATCAAGCCTGGCTAATTTAAAAATGTTTTGTACTGATGGGATTTCACCATGTTGCCCAGGCTGGTCTTGAACTTCTGGGCTCAAGTGATCTGCCTGCCTTGGCCTCGCAAAGTACTGGGATTACAGACATGAGCCACCATGCCTGGCCTGGTGTTTCTTGTCATAAGGACATTAATCTCATCATGAAGGCCCCACTCTCATGACCTGATTGCCTCCTGAAAGCCCTACCTCCAAGTGTCATCTCATTGGGGGTTAGGATTTCAAAATATGAATTTTGGGGGGCCAAAAAAACCATTTGGTTCATATGAAAAATGCATTCAACTGCAGTACAGTCCCCGTGCCTTTTCTTGTCCCAGAAGGCTTGCATCATAATGAAGCCATCTTATGTGAAACAGCAGTGCAAGGCATCTGGGACGTACTTGCTAGAAACTTTGGGGAGTTAACAAACCTCAAGCGTGCCAGTTAAAAAAGCTCCTCGTGGGCCGGGAACGGTGGCTCATGCCTGTAATCCCAGCAATGTGAGAGGCCGAGGCAGGCAGATCACCTGAGGTCAGGAGTTCGAGACCAGCCTGGCCAACATGGTGAAACCCTGTCTCTACTTAAAATACAAAAATTAGCTGGGTGTGGTGGCAGGCACCTGTAATCCCAGCTACTTGGGAGGCTGAGGCAGGAGAATTGCTTGAACCCAGGAGGTGGAGGTTGCAGTGGGCTGAGATTGTGCCATTGCACTCCAGCCTGGGGTACAAGAGTGATACTTCGTCTGGAAAAAAAAAAAAAAACCCAAACCAAACAAACAAAAAAACTCCTTGTGGCCCCGTATGGTGGCTCATGCCTGTAATCCCAATACTTTGGGAGGCTGAGGTGGGCGGATCATGAGGTCAGGAGTTCCAGACCAGCCTGGCCAACATAGTGAAACCCCGTCTCCACTAAAAATACAAAAATCAGTCAGGAGTGGTGGCTGTCACCTGTAATCCCAGCTACTCAGGAGGCTGAGGCAGGAGAATCGCTTGAACTTGGGAGGCGAAGGTTGCAGTGAGCCGAGATCGTGCCACTGCACTCCAGCCTGGAGACAGAATGAGACTCTGTCTCAAAAAAAAAAAAAAGCTCTTCGTGTCTGACCCCATCCTTCATCTGCTGCTGCTGATTTTTTGACACTGACCCTTCTATCTCAACTCTGTTTATTTTTAAGATAAGACAAGGAGTTCTTTGCTCTTATCCTAATTCATGTATAGCAACTTACTGGTGATCAGGAGTGGCTGATACTCGGGAGGTGAGTGGTCATATTTGAGTGTTGAAGTTGGAGAGATCGCCCAGCAGCCACTTTTCAAAACAATGTGTCTTCCATTCCCCCAAATCAGAAGGAACGCGTTTCTAACTGTGTTAAAACTACATAACCTTTTATATAACAATTTCTCACCCCGGTCCAGGGTTTGGAAAGACCTAAAACGTCAACCAAAAGGCTCTTCACCTTATCTCTAATTCCCTGGATTGCCAAGCAAGTCTTCACGATTCTTCAGAATCTTTTCTCAAGTTCGTGCTGACCTGACCTTTCTGTGGTCCCCTGCTATCGCAAGACTCAGCCACTCTTCTTTCTGCTTAGGGGAGACCCCGTGTAGAAGCTGTCCTTAGCCATTCATTTCTTTATTGTTTCACAAAGCAGTGGCTCTGGGGGTCAGGAGCTGTGGGTTCCAGCCTTCACTGTGATGCTGTCTGGAGATTTCGGACAAGTTTCACATCCTTTCTGCACGTCTAGGTCTTTGCCAACTTTGTGTTCTGTCCTTGATGAATTCTTGCTTTGCACTTCTCCTTGTGGACTTTTTTTCCTCTTTGCCTTTTTATTTTATTTTTTTTGTACAGATGAGGTCTCACTTTGTTGCTAGGCTGTTCTCAAATTCCTAAGCTTAAGCAATCCTCTTGCCTTGGCCTCCCAAAGTGCTGGGATTATAGACATGAGCCACTGTGCCCAGCCTCCTTATGTTCTTTACTGAGGCTGTGCTACACAATTTTCTGGGCTCCCAACCCCTCCTTCATGCAGGCTTTTCTCCCTTCCAGAGAGCCTGTTCTCTTGTGCTAACTGCTGCTCCAAGAAGTGCAGCTGAGACTGAGATGCTGTGGACTGTAATGGGTAAAAGCCCGAGGCTGGGAATTGCTCAGATGTGTGTCAAAGCCTCCCTCCAAGGCTCACTGGCTGAATTTCCACATCAGTGAGCTGGAGGTGATGACAGTCTCACCTAGGCTTTCGTAAGGGTTAAGTAGGATGAGACAGGCAAGATGGTTTGCTTACAGTAAGCTTTCCAAGGTTAGGTTTTGTTTTCATTGGATATTTCAACTGTGATTCCTTTCACATATACTGCTTTTTTATTTTTTGAGA